TAGTGGGTTAAGGTAGCCAGAACAACAAGTATACTTAATTTGTCTGTCTCTCTTTGTTTTTGTCTGTCTCTCTTTGTTTTTCTCTTTCTCTCTTATACCAGGGATTGAAGTCAGGGCCTTTGCATGGAGCTGCATCCCCAGCCCTTTTAAAATTTTGAGATAGGGTCTTTCTAAATTACCCAGGCTGGGTTCAAACTTGCACTCTTCCTGCCTCAGCCTCCCAAAGTCTTGGGATATTAGGGATGTGCCACTAAGCCTGGTTTCATACAGTTAGGTTTTTATTTTCTTAAATAGCTGTTTAATATTTGAGACACAGGACATTGGAGTTTCTGATGTTGAGTGAGTGGTGTCATGTTTGCATGGTGTCATGCTGTCTGTCTCATCAGTGTGTTGAAAGGTGATGTCAGTAACACAATCCAAGGCTTGGGGAAATGACTAACTCTAGAAAGTAATGCATTAAATGTTTGGACACAGGCCCCATTAACCACCAATGATAGAAAATGGTGACCAATGTACTGGCTTTTGAATCACGCGTGGTAATAGAAACAAGTAATCACAAATCAGCTCCAGAGAGTTTACTCTCTCCCTGCCTCCTCATTGTCTCCTTCAAGGAAACTCGAGTTGATTTAGATCTGAAATTTTGGCAGCAATGGTTATTCTTGGGGGCACATTGTTGAATGTCACAAGTTTTACATTAATATGCAGATTCATAACTGTAGACATATGCTTTTAGGAAACTATGTCAAGCGTTCCTTATAAAAGACAAAATTTAGCGGAGCGATTAGGAGGGCAAGGGATGGAAGGTGCTAACTGGAGCTAAGTCCCATTCTTGTCATTTTAGTTGTGAGGACGCAGCCATGAGGCCGGAACTCCTTGGAAGCCCTAAACAGGACATGCAGTATGACATCTGGATGCTGATCAGATTCATATGCGGCTTCATCGCAGTATCCAGACGAACACTCCTGGTCTCAGGGTGCTGCCCCTCCATAGAGTTCTCATTTTCCTGCCCCCCAGGGCCCTGTTACCCCTTTCAACTCCTAGACTCATATGTTTCACGCTCTATTCCTCAGGCAACTAAATAGGAACAGGAAACTACATATGATTATGTTGTCGTTATAACTGGATATAAAACTCTATGGGGGCAAATCCTGGTCTTAATGTCTCCATCTTGGCATACTACTGGACACATGGTGCTTAACAATTTTTTGTTGAATGAAAAATTATCCAAATGCAGCTATGGGAAGCTGAGGCAAAAGCTTCACCTGAGTCCAGGAGTTCAGTGTCAGCCTGGACAATACCCTGAGACTTATTCTCAAAAAAATAATGTATGTGCATTTTGCAACTGCTACCTTAAGCCTTTCCTACTTATTAGTTTTTCTACACCCATTGATGCAGGTGTCCAAGGCTCTAGTCTATGTAGGGGTGTTCCGGTGTGGCTAGTGAGTGAAGGAAGCCAGAAATGAGAGATGGTAGGGAGAGGCAGGGTCTGTGGTGTAGGAGATGTGCTCTTCTCACCTACTGTGGCATTTGGGGTGGAGTGATTGAGCTGATGACAGCAGTGTGAGAATATAGGACTTATCACCAGATTATTGAATGTGTCAAGCGATACCAGAAATCTATAAAATTTAATGTTTCAAATGTATTAAAAAATACTGCACTCGGCTGAGCGTGGTAGCTCACACCTGTAATCCCAGCACTCAGGAGGCTGAGGCAGGAGGATCTTTTCGGGTTCAAGACCAGCCTGGGCTATAAAGTGAGCTCAAGAACAGCCTGAATTGCATAGTGAGACCCTGATTCAAAAAAAAATACTACACTGGCATCACTCTTTGTCACCAGTTTGTAAGTGTGCTCTACTGTGACATAATTTAGGAAGCCCTAAGCATTTCTATCTAGGATCCCCTGAAGCTCTTAGCACAAGGAAATCAGATGCAGACAAATAAATTCACAAGGAAGTCCAAGTCATGTTTTAAACTACTGAGGTTTTTTTTTTTATTGCAAAACATTTGTTACAGAAATTTCAGAAAGTTTTCCCGTGGTATCTGCCAACTTCTGCTTTGAATTATATGTCTAAACATACAAGCTCAAAGTGCACTGTGAATCCAGTAATAGACCTTTAAAAAAAGAACAATTCCTCTGAGGATTTAGATATATTTATAGTATCAATAGATACTCAAACCGCTGTCTATCCATATGCAAAGAAGGAAAAGATATATATATATATATATATATATATATATATATATACCCAAACCCAATTTTAAAATCATTGTATTTATAGGAATTCATTTAAAAATGAGATTCAAATAATTTTTCCCCTATAAACTATGGTTAGAACATTTACAAATAAGAGAGTCTAAGTGCTATGTTACAGAATGGCTGTGAGTCGTGAATATAGCACGCACAGTGGTACCCAGTGGTTGCGGCCATGGAAACTCAGGTCAGATGCTATGTGATAGGAAGCAGGTGGGCAGGGCTTCATACAGTGTCATGGTGCCCTTCCTTGGATGCTCCCTCACTGAGATCCCGCATTTGGGTCCAGAATGATGTGACTAACAAATGGACATGTGCATGTCATTCAGGAGATCCTGAGTCCCCCTGCATAGAGGGGGTTCTTTTTACCCTGTTCCCAGCTCTCTGTATTTCAGGTGTGTACTCCTTAGGTCAGAATCAAGAAACTGTCCCCTGTTGACTCTAATCAGAAGTCCTGGCTATGCCCTTGGGCATGCTGGTGGCAGACACACTCGTGTGGCCAGCACAGTGTGACAGGACATGGGTTTGAGCTGGGCTTGGTGTCTTGTTCTTATGGTGCAAATGACTCTGGAGGCTAAGGCAGGAGGTCACATGAGCACAGGAGTTTGGGACCAGGCTGGGCAATGCAGTGGGATCATGTCAGAAAAAGAAAAAGAAAAAAAAAAAAGAAGAAGCAAAAATGTGGATTTGTGTATCCTTGTGGCGGCATGTGTATTTTCTCAGGGCTACAAATCCTATTTCTGTTGTCACTCGCCCAGCCTGGTCTCACCCTTCTGCTCTGCATCTGGCCGCTGATTGAGTCTGCAGCCCCTCCATCTAGATGCGGAGACTGAGGACCCGCAATAGGCTGGGGAAGGTGAGAGACTTTTGGGGTTCGAGTGGGCGAAGAACTGGATGAGAACTGTATACGCGAGCCGAGTCGGGAGAGACTGAGCTAGTGGGAAGATTGGACTTAGGTTAAGGTCTGAATATTTGCTTTGTTCCAAGTAGTTGCTATTTTGCTTGCCATGTCAGGCTCCAAAGGTGCTGAGCTCACAGCAGTCAAGCTCTGTGGGCCTCATGAAGAAGAACTAGTGTCGGGCTGAGAAAAAAGATGGGGCGAAGGAGACTGAATTTCCCTGTGATCTCAGCAGCCTCCCACCTGGATGGCTGGGGTTGTGGCTGGCGTTGAAGCTCCCCTCAAAGCCTGTGGACGTGTAGACACACCCAGGTCATTTTTCCCGTCCAGCACACAGACTGCCAATACATAATGGGCTACAGATTTAAGGTGGCTGGTCCGGCTTGGTAAATTTGGAAAAGGAAAACTCATTCCGCTTTTATTGCATTCAGATTACCTGGTCACCTAACTGTCTCTTAGGTAATGCATTGAAATTGCTACATCTTGATTTTGTTATATCACTATATGTTCAAGGAAATCGTCAGTGAAAGGTAACCCAATGACTTTCTGGAAAAAAAGCAGGGAAAGAAGATTTAAAAGTCTCATTTTTCTTAAATCAGAACCAACTCCTTCTTTGGATGGTTCTAATCTGAGACACAGAATGTCTGACTTGTGAAAAAAGAAAAAAAGTAAATCAAAAAACCAAAGAGAAAGAGAGGAGGGAGGAAGAGAGAAGCAATTTAGGTCAGAGTAAGCCAAGAGAAAAGTCTCCCCCACTCATTTTAGGCTCGGTGGTTCACGTCACTGTACAAAGTGCCCCTCTCTTTTCCCGATGTTGAATGGCTCCTGATAATGAAATGGTGATTTCTTTAAAGAGTAATCTATTCAGAGACTCCCGGTGCACAATTGCCCACCTCCCACTCCCAGGCCAGGCTCACCCACAGAGTGAGGAAGTCACAGGATAAGGAAGGAGATGGTTCGTCGTGTCATGGGACCACTCATTCATAATGACCTGCTGACATCTGCCCTGTCATGATGGGACTGTTTGCTTTCAACTTGGTTTATGATTTCCACCCAGCAGCTCCAAAGAATCCAAAACATGTCACAGGCACACGAGCACCTAGACCTTGGTAATCCCAAGTGGCACTTAGCTTGCCAGCTCCAGGTCCTGTGGGTATGCAACCTGCAGTTAATACTTTCATATTACTTATTTAGAGCTTTAAAAAAGTCACTAAAGCCCCTCAATAATTTTTTTTTAATTTTTAAAGACTGAACATAATCCCTCGTGTAAGAAGCCTAACAATTTGAGTGTGTTCCTACTGGGTTTAAGCATCACAGCAGGCAATAGTAAAAACGTAGTCTTAGAAAGTCAAAAGAAATGCATAAAGGCATGCATGCATTTTGTTGACACAAAATTAAGCCTGGGTTTAGAGAAGGATTACTTCATTTAAGTCACATTGTTATTTTTAAAGATAGTGAGTCATAATGTAACATCTAGGCCAAATATATAACCTCCTACACACTAGCATCAATTTGTCTAGAAACGACATAGTGTTACTAAATGAACATATTTATAAAATACTGTACACTGCCTCCACATTGGGTCAGCAGATGTAAACAAACAGCTAATTCAACTGGAGCTTAAAATGTTAAGTTCCTTCGTGATATAGTCGTCTGCATAACACGCCTGATCACCTTTCAAAGAATCACAACTCACCTACCACAGCTCGAGGGACTTGGTAGAGGGACTTGCCGTGTCAAGCTTACACAAGTACTTTACAGTGGTCTGAAGGAATGTGGGAAACATAAATCAGGTAGGAACAAAAATGCCCATTTCACGAGGATGCTAAATAACATGGAATGGGGAACGTGATTAATCCTTGCAACATGTGCTTCTTTATTGAATGTTACAGATTTATAAATGATTATAAAGCTTTCCTGTAACGTTCATTAATACAACCACATGCTACAGCTATGCTGGGTTATACACAGGTTACATATATGTTAACATGTGTTTTATAATACAGCATTGCCCGACACACCCTAGGGTTTAGCCTATAGATACCGCATGATGGATGACTGGATAATAGTCTCTTTAGAGAAATTAAACAGCCCAGACATTCCGGAAGGTTAGACTGGACAGCCTCAGAATAAAAGAAAAATCATGAAAAACTATCCAGTTATCTACCATAATATTATCCATAGAAACCATCTTTTAAGATACATTTGAAACATTCAGAAAAAAAACACATCTTGTGTTTTTGAGTACATTTTTTCCACTTGATTATTCTTATACATATATTTTAAAAGGGTAACTTTCAAAGTGCTAAATAATGTCCTGGCCCTGCAAGCTTAGACTTAACAAAATCCAGTTCTGTAAAGTGCTTCATTCAAATTGCTAATACACCTTTTGGCTTGCAGAATTACACCAACTATCTGTGCCAATTCTCCTCAAGCTTCCCAGCTCCCCGTTTCAATCCATCAAGAAGTGGGGTTTGCAATATAAATATAAAATAATGTGGGTTAATCGGGAAACCTCCACGGTCATTTTCATAAAACAACCTTAATATTTTTCCCCCAAAGGAACAAGCAATTTAGAGTAAATCATTACATAGAGTAGTGTATAAAAATTGGCACCTCTGAAGCAGATGATTAAACCCAAGCCATCGCTTCCTTGAGCTCTCTGTGACTTTATTTATGGTCCTTACAAACTCACTGCTTATGAGTTGCTTAATTCACAGAGTCAGATAACTAACATCTCCTCGATAGGGACATGATGGAATAAATGAACTGAGCACACGTCGACTGTACAAGGCCACAGAATCAATGCCACACTGATGTGGAGAGAACCCAGATATGGAGAGATGGGACTGAAGAAGAACACAGGTATGTACACAGGAAAGAGATGGCTTGTGACAGTTACACAGTTTGTGTCTAAAGTTGTTTAAATTTGGCTTATATGTTTCACACACTTCATCAAAGATGCTAGCAGTTAATTTTCATGCACAACAAAAGAACCAGATTGTCACAAGATCAGGACTTCTAGGTATTTAGTTTCTCAGGTTGTCTTCATTGCTCTCTGGAAATCACAACAAATGGAAACACTGGTATTCATTGAGTCTTTCCCCTACTCCAGTAGGGGAAAGTGCCCAGTATGAGGCACTGGAGATGCTTGGTGTCCTGCTCTATGGTCAAAGAATAATTCTTTCACCTCCTTCTTGGATTCCTCTAAGACTCTGTCAGAGAGCCCTTTGGCTTTATAAGTGTGCTTGCTACTCAAAAATCATCAGAGGTTAAGATGTAAGACACTGAACTAGCCACTCTAATCTACGGAATGAAAGTAATAGAATCTTGGTTCAAACTCTGGTGCTGAGACTTGGCCTTCCTGAGAATCACAGAGAAATGGTCTTAAAAGATAAAGTGCCTATTATGACTATACTGATTAGGAACAAATGTGGTTCCTTTCCCTCATTACCAGTCAATCCGCAACCAGGGCTCTCTGAGCCCTTTGAAGTTATATTGCAGTTACATGACACATGTATGTACATTTGGGGGGAGGTGCCTAGAGTTTTCATTGATCCTCACGGGGATTCATGACACAGGAAATTTAAGAGATTTTAGAGTTTCAATCACAGACTGAATGTGTATTGGCCGAGAAGGAAATTCACCAATTTGGGGCCAAATAAAGTAAAAGAGTCCCTAGAGTAAATATAAAGTAAACAAAGCATTTGTTTTTGAGACATAGTATTACTATATGAAGTCCAGGCCAGCCTTGAACTCATCATGTAGTTCAGGATGGTCTTGAACTCACAATCCTCAAACCTCAGCCTCCTGAGTGCTGGGATTACAGGTAAATCACCACGCCCAGCTACAGCAATTATAAATTAAGGGTTAAAAGTCATTGATTCACCTAAATACCAGGGATTTAAAGGGAATTCTTCATATATGTGAACTTGTCACTCTCTGTACTGAAAAGATTGCTCAGGGTTTTTTAAAAAATACTTTGTATTTTTTAATATTGAAAGGCTAGAGGTTTTGTCAGTGAAATTACATGGTTTCACAAAATGAGATATAATTTGTTATTTACAACTGTGATTAAATAAGTAAAAGAACCAGGTAGTATCTTGCACAAGGAACCTCAAATCATTTTTCTTAACAGCCTTTATTTTTATTTTGTTAAACTTCAGTGGTCCAAATAGGAATCAGAAGATTGGAGGGGTGGAGTGTCCAGATTTCTATATCTCAATTCAAATCCAGATTGTGATCTAGGAGTTTATGCACCTGTTTTAGGGTCCAAAGCACTGTCTGGTTTAGAACCCTCTGTCTGTTCCTATTGTATGCATTGTATGTGTAGGAGAAACCAGAATGAAGGAGATGGACGGTAAGCGATTTGGATCAAAAAGGTGCAGTGGGCAGGTGGTAAGTGTCTTGACAACTCTTGTTTGGTTCAAGGAAAAGTTAAGGTAACAGAGATTTAAAAAATTATAATTTCAACATTTGGTCTAATAGTATACTGAACTCTTTATGTGGAACTTCTTGGATATTAAAAAAATTGTGGCTATATCTCCAGGAGATAGAAAAGTATAAGCCTCTTAAGAAAGCTCTCTATGTCTGTTTATATACTATACATAAACATATGTCTCTCTGTAAATGTATATATATGTATATAAACAGCAGACACTATAGAATTCTTTATATGATTTATTTGCCTTCTATTTTGGACTACTGTATCTTTTTTTTTTTTTTTAGTTCTGTATGTAAGAAAAATATTCATGGTACGTCTGCAACTGATGGCTTTGGGTTGATACCAAATTCTCAGTCAATTCTAAGGTTATTTATGGTTTCGAAAACTTCCTTAAAAAGTACTTTGGAACATTTCCATAAAAAAGATACCAGCCCTTGAAAAACTCCAATTAAATTTATGCTGAGCTCAGATTAGATGGCAAAACTCTAGGTATGAAAATATCCACGTATAACCATGGATTCATATACAAAATGGTCAGGTGATGGGAGAATGGGAAGCTGGGTTACATCTTGGGGTGCTCAGAGACACAGTGGGGTCATGCACACAATGAAGGTCACACAGCACAAAACACATGACATGAATGGTGAGCATGTAACAATATCCCATATGGCAGCTTTAGGTTAGTTCTGCCCACTGTGTTTCATTTTATTTTTAAGTTCAATGTCACATACTCAATGAGTGAATTCATTGATGACAGGTGAGATACAAAATAAATTTAAAAATATAAAATTATTTAATTACATTCATCCTGAGCTTGCTCGACTATACTCGAATGCCTACGTTTGGTTTTAACATCAACTCCTCTTTCATTTTGACTGCAAGACAATAAAGGCATTTCTGTTCCCTTATTTTCTCCAAAAAAAGATAAAACAGTTGTGGCACCAGAAGTGAATAGATAAGAGACAGGTGAACTATGACTGTTACCTTGTTTTTTCTTTATAATGACCAATTACAGAAGTGTTGGCATGAGAAGGGTGTGGGTCGTTAGGTGGAACTGCTGGCTGCCGGCTTATACTGAATAAAAAGGATTCTCTTCATCAGTCACCAGTGATGGAGCCAATGTGAAAAGAAAACAGAATTGAAGTTTAGAATATCTCATTTTGTACGCAGGCTACTTTACTTTATTTTTCAATTTAGCCCTGCAACCTAAGACTCTTGATAATGGGCAGAAATCACAAGATGCCTCCTGGTACAGAGAGGGCTTGGAGACCCTCGATGCCCTGAGCGCATGGCTTTCTGCAGAGACTGGTGATACACACTCATCTCTAACCTTTCTTCTCCCCCTGGGTCCCCTCCCTACCCAGCAATGCAAACATGCCTTAACTCCCCTGTGTTTGGCACGGGGTCAGATCAAATGCTTTCTTGATCTGTGGCCCAAAAGTCACCATCGTGTTACTATCTCCCAAAGCTTTGTGTGTTTTGCTAAGAATAAAGTGGGTGTGATTCGAGGAAGTGGGGGAAAAGGTAAAGTTTGGGGAAATTTTCAGGGCTGGATTCTTGAGCCTTCTGCCACGCCTAGTGACAAGGGTTAGTTGTGCTTGCTTTCAAAGCTTCGGAAGGCTGAGGTCCTGGACAGTCTCCTCATGGACAGACTGTCCCCTCGGCCCTCCGGCTTGGGGGTCTTACTCCTCTGGAAGGGGTTGCGCAGGCTGGCTGTGTTCCTCTGCCTGTCGAGTTTGTCACTGATGGAAAAGCTCTTCCTGGTGTGCGCGTATGGCGCACTGGGCTCCTCTGCCGAGTAGCTGTTGGCACGCTCTATCTTGGGAACTGTGATGTTGTTGGACAGGGCTCTGTCTGAGCTGTCCCCCTCCTGTGAGGATATTGCAATGGTGGCTCTCCGGCCTCTGGCCTCATTCTCCTCGCTGTCAGAGCCGGGGTGACTCAGTTCTGCCTCTCGCTCAGGATGGCAGCAGGATAAATCCTCCACTTTGTCTCCAAGCCCCCCGGGAAAGGTGGCTCGGTCAGCGATCACTTGGGGGGCATTGACACACCTTGTGTCAATACAGTCCGTAATACTTGTGTATTCGGCCGTTTTCACGGGCACCCCAAAGTTGGCGTAATAACTCCTCGAAGGAGAAAACATAAAGCTATGAGACTTCACCATGGGGCCCTCTTCCAGAGGGAAGGGCGCAGTGGCCAGGTAGCGACTGCTCTTGGAACGCTCGATGGCGTGATAGGTTGGTGGGTCTGAGTCCCAGGGGTTTTGGCATTCTGGGAGGTGTGTGTAGTCTGAAGAAAAAGATCTAGTGTCCATGGAGGTAAGATCTTCGACATCAATGCTCCGGCTCGGAGGCCTGTCTGTGGGTGCGAGGGTTGCGTAGGCACTGCTGGAAGGGGCTGTGGAAGGTGCCAGTGTGGAGAAGCTTGGCTCGCCCAGCCCCAGGATGTTCATGGAGTTGTCCAGGGGGTCGATGTCACAGTGGAGCTCATCCATGGCAGACACGTAGATATCAATGCACGACGAAGGTCTTCTGGAATCGGGAACGATGGCCAAGGTGTTTGCAGGCGCTGCGGGAGCTTTGGATTCTTTTGCTACCGAGTGGGAACTAGTAGCCCGGTGTAGGCTCAGGGACCTTTCTTTAAAAATACTCTCCAGCTTTTCTAGACCACCTTTGTCTTTCATATTGACTGCATAGAAGGAATGGCTTCGCATACGGGGCATTAAGGTTGGAGAAGTTGGGGACAAGGTCTCCTCACCTGCAGGGTCTATACTCTCTTGGAGCTTGAAGGTATTCCCCTCCTGGCTGTTGAAGCTGCTCTGGCGGACTATGTAGGCGGCATCTGTGCAGTCCGAGGAGGTCCTCGAGCGGATCTTGTTGGACTCTGCCCGCTCCAGACCGGTCAGGCGCTCCAGAGCTGTGGCCATGCGCCCGATGAGGTCTTCAAGCTGTGCCAGCCGGATGTCCACAGTCTGGAGTGAGGCCTTCATTGAGTGCTCTCTCTCATTGACTTCCTCCAGCCGCATGGACATGTTTTCCACCCTGGGTGAGAAGGACATGAGGAGTCACTCGGATGGTGGCCTCTGCAGGGGTTTTAGAGAGCAAAGACAGAGGGCACCAGAGCTGGGCTGCCCTCCTGCAGGAAGGATGAGGGATCACAGGTCACAGGAGGGGCGAGGGAGGAGAATGTACTGATCTGTCATCAAGAATGGCAGAATCCAAATCTTTTGTGCTGGAGGAAGCTTTAGAGATAACCTAGTCCAGGGGTTTTTCCTTTATTTTTATTTTTATTTCGAGTCGGAATCTAGCTACGTTAAAATCTAAACTCCCAGACTCCAGGGATTCTCCTGCCCAGCAGTTGGGACCCCCCGAGGGTACATGTCATCATGCCTGGCACGAACCAGTGGTTGTTAGCTTTTTGTTCAGCAGGCCTGGGTTCTGGGTTCTGCTCCCTTTTAGAGCTGGTGTGTGTAACAAAGAACAGCACAGCTTTGTTCTTCCTGCTTTCCTCTCCAGGGCTCAGCACATACAAGGGTTGTATGTGGAATAGAAAGGTGCTCTTTGGCAAAACTGCATGGGATCCCTAGCCTAGGAGCTGTGAACCATCTTTTTGCCATGCCTCCTGCTGACCTGTCCTCAGTGCCAGGACCCAAAGTCACAGAGAGAGTTGGCAAGTGACAGGCAGTGCAGGGGCACCAAGATCAGGTACCAGAGGAGGCAGGACCTGCCCTGGGCAGGGAGCTGGAGCCCAGAAGGACAGGAGGAAGACAGGGACATGGGAGAAACAGGCTTTTCAGGGAGAGCCAAGAAGCGTGGTCCCAGGGAACAGGACCAGGCAGGGCAGCACGGAGCTGAGAATTATTCTTAACACTCCTGTGGGCTCGGAGGAAGACTGGAATATCGGTCTTGCCTAAAGCAGTAGTGAATCGGGTTATCCACTGTCTTCTAGAATTATGGAAGTGTTTAACCTCTACCCATCCAACTGGCTGGTCATTTAGGTCAAGGGCCTAACTAGAAAGAGTTTAATACAGAGGTTATACAGAACAAAAGATCCTGGGGTCAAATTTTTATATATATATATATATATATATATATATATATATATATATGTGTGTGTGTGTGTGTGTGTGTGTGTGTGTATCTGTGCTTTAATCTTTTAAATTTGTTTTTGAAAAATGAAGTGCAAATAGACCTGCATCCCACGTTTAAGTGTGACTTCAAGAGTCAACCGAGAGCTCTGGGTCATGACTGTAGTCACCTGGAGCTGATTCTGATCAAGTAGCACAAGAGATAAAATGAGACATAGATTATAAGAATTTATGAATTGCTGGGGTCTACAAGGAGATAGGTTCAGAAGTGACACATCAACAAACAAAGAAAGGTAGGTTTTAACAGGCGTTGTAAAAGATAAGACATTTATGGGAGAAACTCTTTATGTAATTTTCTGTCTCCCACATTTGCAGATACTGAGAGGCTCATATCCGGATAACTCGGGGTGATCACAACAGGAGTTTGGAAAGAAGTGAGGGGTGAGGTGGCCACAGGAGGGGAACAAGCTCTGAATGTTTCTGATCTCAAGCCTTTGTGTTGGGATTGTCTAACATTAAGACAGAATTACGTACTATTCACAATACTAAATGGAAGACACACGGTTGACTTAAATCCCATCATGTGTGTTTAGCTAAATGTGTCTCGATACAAGCCCATGTGTATACAGAGTTCTGTCCCTACCCTGCCCCCAAAGACTGTAAACAGGACGGGGTAATCACCTGCCACTCTGCTGAGAAAGCACATGTCCTAGATGAAGCATGAGGTAGGCAGTGGGACCCCCCCCCCCGCCTGCCCCTTGGTTGGGCTCTGTTCCCTCATGGACCCCCTGGCGTTCTGGTTGTGCTGAGTGCAGTTCCAGTGTTGAAAGATATTATTTATTGGTGTGCTTCCAAATGCAAAAATTCCCGAAACAACCAAAATAAAATCCCAAAGAAAACAGACAGAAGCTACAGATACAGACTGAGGCCTGGATTGAGGCACCTGGGCTTGGTTGCAAGGACATGTTGGTCTCTGCAAGTCCCCATTCCTGAAGAAGGTCATGCTAATGCCCAGGACATGGGGTAGAGGGTCTGTGCTTTGTGCTGGATTTCTGAGAATCACCAGCTTGCCTACCCTGTTTGAGGACAGGGCTCTGTAACCGCCTGAGAGGACTTGAGCCTCGGGATGGGGTGGTATTAATGGGTGGGGAGGCCTGGCTGGGAGGCCCTGCCTGAGTGGTATCACCCACCCCGTTCCCCTCCAGTGTGCTCACAGGCTGGTGTGTCTGCTCCTCTGTTCCCTTCCCAGAGAGGCAAAGACTTCCAGCATCTTAACACCTTTTCTTCTCTACCTCTCTCTCCTGAAGGGTCTACGGCTTTCCTGAATTCCAAAAGCATTTCAAAGGCTTACAGACATCCACTTTGGAAATCTTTCTGTGCAGTAATGTGTGCACATGGCACAAATTTCTGGGAATCACTTGGCCATGTGTCCATGAATAAATAGTGTTTCAAGGCCTCAGAATGAGAGAGGCCTTGAGGTTTGCAGCTCCTTCCTCTGTTTGCCAGAAAATTCCTTTGAATTGTATCATCAGAAAATGCTCCATTTTGCAGTGACAGATGTGCATAAATTCTGCATGTCCCTTTAACTTCATTAATAATGGCCTAGTACCTACAGATATCGTCATTCAGCAACATACGCGTGTATCTATCTTGACCGCGTTCTTGAAAGAAATAAAAGGGACAGAAAAAGAACCCATTGATGTGGTTTCTACAGAGTCATTAGAGAATGTCGGCAGTGGAGACACCATGTCATTGCATGAGTACTCCAGACGACTGCCTGGAATCTCAGAATTCTGAGTCATGCTGACTAAAATCACCAACATAATGTATCTCTGTACACTACTTATAATTTGTCTCTCCCATCTTCATATTGGGAATTTTTGAAATTTGTTACACCAGTGCTTTATAACACTCAGAGGATTCTCGAACAGTAGTTTCTTGCTGGGTGTGGTGGTGCATGCGTGTTATGCTACCACTTGAGAGGCTGAGGCTAGAGAATCTCCTTGAATTCGAGTCTAGCCTAGACTACCCAGTGAGTTCAAGGCCAGTCTGAACATAGCAAGACCTTGTCTCAAAAACATAGCGAGATCTTGTCTCAAAAAACAAAAATAAAAACCAGTAGTTTATAAATACTGGGCTTTGGAATGCACCAACCTGGAATGAAGGTTTTATGAGTCTACAGCAAAACAAGAAAAATAAGAAAATGTAAGTGCTTTTACATGTATCTAGAGTTATCAGACTTAAAGATTTCCTGCTTTTATTTGGAGATTTTTAAAAACAGTCCCTCAAATCTATTTGGTCAATGGAATCTAAAAATATATAGCCACTAAGTAAAAAAATTGGCTTCTATGTCCTTGTTTTTATCATGTTCTATGAAAAGAAGAAAACCAAACAACTCTGGAGGAGATAAGCCATCAACAGTTATTCCCCTCAACCTACAAGTCTCTTACTGCTGTGTTTTGAAAAGTATGAAGCACCTACTTGGGTTGGGTTCTTGGACATTTCTCCTCTGGTGGACAACATGCTAAACATGAAACAGAAACCTGTCCGAGAGCGAGGAGCCAGGGCCTATCTTGACCTTTCCAGTTTCTGGCTGAAGCCAGGGCCCAACCCTGCCAGGCCTCCCTAGTTTCTAGGGTCACCGAGGGCAGCCGCCACTGCCCACAGGAGAAGTCCCCAGTCCTTAAGTCTGGGATTTTTGTGTGTAGACACAGAGCCTGGGCGATGTTCTGTTCCCCTAGAAGCTCCTGGATGTCCTGGACAGTGCAAATAAACCCAAAGGGTCTTGTTTTGGGACCACAAAAGCAAACTCAACTGGCCAGGCAGCCACAGGCACTCAGCTGTCTCGGGGGAGGCCCGGGGAACGCACCTTTCAGAAGTCACTCGTATCCTCTCATCGTTGGACGAGTTGAATCGATCATCCTTTTCCCTGAAATATTCTTCTATGCACTGCTCTTCAAAATCATGCACTTTTTTGAGCTCATCATCAGTTATGAAGAGTTCTGCGGAAGAGAAGAAACAAATGACAGCCATGAGACAGAGAAGAACGCTGGCCCTGGATTTACGGTTCTAATGACATTCTTAATATAAGTCAAGGCCGGGGAAGGGAGCCTGGATTCTAAGTCAAATGAAATCTAAATCCAGGTAGGCAGCTAGCATCAGGATCTTTCCTCTGAATATTCGATTTACTCCGGGTCTCTGAAAGTCAGCTGAATGTGTTTGGCATACTGCAGGAGCTGGTTAGAATTCATCAAGTCATGATATGGTGAGTGTCTTAATCCTGGTACTCTGGGAGGCTGAGGCAGGAGGATCGAAAGTTTGAGCCCTATATGTGAAACTTAGTAAGACCCTGTGTCTGGAAGAAAAGAAGAGGTGGAGGGAAGAGGTGGAGGGAGGGAGGTGGCCAGTCAGACTAGGGGTGTAAGTTAGCGCAGAGGCCCTGGGTTAAGGACTAATACATGGGGGGAAAAGAATTACACAAGTGATAAGACCATGGACATGCTAAATCAAGAAATGGGGAAACAACATTGAACATGGGTGTTTCTCTTTTCCTTTCCTTTCCTTTCCTTTTTTTTTTTTTTTTTTGGTGAGACAAGGTCTCACTATGTGGTTCGGGCTGGTCTTGAACTTGTGATCATCCTGCCTCAGCCTCCCAAGTGCTGGGATTACCATCAAATACTACCCCTCCTGGTTGGATGCTTAAAAAAAATTTCTGAGTTGGGGATGTGGCAGACAGATGTTGATTGACAGATCAACATTCAGATCCCCATTTTCTATTTTTCTCTTCTCACTACTGAGGTAGGAGAGCCAAATACACATATTTCTATTCTGCTTTGAAACTATCAGCAACTATGAGATGCATTTGGGGCCAAGAAACAAAATAAATCTACTGCAGGGAGAGGTAATGTATTGAAAAGAGACTTTGCTTTTCTGATAAAATAGATATATGGTTGCTTCTTTTTACCTTTTTTTAACCTTCCCTCTGTCTGTCTGTCTCTCTCTTCTTCTGTTTTGAACCCATGTGTGATGACTGGAGGTGCAGAAACTATTTTGTGACCATAAAACAAGATAGCACAGAAGGAATTGGTGGGCCAGTAATAGAAGACTCAGTGTTGTACTTTAGTGAGCTATTGTTGGGTTCTGGGCTATCATCTCGTCACTTTTTGACATGTGAAACAAGGCCATTATTTATTCATGCTACTATTTTCCTGGTTTTCTATTAGTGGAAGATAAATTATTCTTAACTGATACAGCAGTGGAAAGAGCCCAGTGGAAATGTGAACCTTTAAATGGCTTAGGGATCAGGGCTAGGTTGAGGGAGCTGCTTTGGGAAAACATCCATGGACAAGTCTCTCTTCTAATCCTGAGCCCTTGAAGCATCACAGGGATTATCTCAAAGGTTTGGAGCCTTGAATCTTTGGCCCTCAGGGATTTTATCTCCTGAGAGTGCTCTTGTTTGCTTTGAGGCTTTGGTTTGAACTTTCTGGAGGCATGGTAAACCAGATGGGATGAGGAAAACACCAGGCCTCACCTCCAACACGGCGGCCTGGGAGGTAAGGGGGGTCAACCAAGCTTCAGTCCCAAAATCATAGGGAGCCTCGGGGGAAGGATGGAGAGAGGCCATGTACCAGGTCCCCACGTACGGACTCGCTTCTGCCATTGCTGTATGTGATACTGCTTTTTGTATAAAAATATTCTCTTAAAAAATCCCATCAACATGACACATTTTACAGTGTAACTTAGTGCTTTTATTGGGGTCTGACAAGAAGCTGGCATGGCCTGGGCTCTTTCCCTAACCGAGAAGAGTGGCGAAGGGCTCTGCTCTGCGCTTCATGGCTTCTGACCCGGCCACAGCTCAGAGACCTCTTCCTTTGAGACACCCTGCTCCTCGCCTGTGTCCAGACACTGGGCGATGCTTTCACAGGTGCCATGGTGGGTGCAACAAGAAGGCCACGAGCCACAGCTTTTGGACCAGGCTCCGGCTACCCCTGTGAGTGGATGCCCAGGTTTGGGGCCTGCAGGCTGTGGCCCTGGAGTGGAAACGGCTCTCTGGATCACCCCACATCCTGTGTTGGATCCCAGACCTCTTTTCCTAAGGGCTCTGGATGAGAGATCTCCCTTTATCAGCCGTGCGGCATCTGTACTAAAAGGCCCTGGGCCCTGGGGGTGTGAGCCATCAGTTCTCCGCCCCTGCTGCCTGCAGACCCTGGGTACCCAGGGGGTGGAGGATAGAGAATCTTCTGTTTTGTCCTTTGAGTAATGGAAAGTGAGCCTCAGTTCTTTTTGAGGTCACATTAGGGTCTAATTCTAATTTAGGGGCTAGGGTGTAACTAGGTTACCCTTTCCCTGGACTTGGGTTTCAAATGGAAACAATCCTTTTGGAATTCCCAGGTTTTTTCAACTCTCCCATTTCAATGTTTAGAATACAGGTGGGTGTTGCTACTTTAGGGAGATTATTAATTGATTCAGAGTTAGAGAAGCAGTTCAGTGGCTTTTGTTGTAAACTTTGGATATTACTGGAATCACACGAAGGGAAGTAACCACTGGCTCACCATCCCAGAGACACTTGTTTGTAGATTTAATGTAGGTGGTTGGCTTGACTTGACACACTTTGAGAAGCTCGTTTGCAAGGGGCCGGGCTCTGGGAGTCTCTAACTGAACACTGGCCCCCAAGGAGTATATCTGTTGGACTTACCTGCACAAAAAGTGTGGAGCTAGACAGGCTACATTTCCTGCCATGTAGGGTACAGTACTACACAAAGGAATCCTTTCACCCCAGGGCCAGTAGAACAGCTGCTTCTTTTAGAAACACTGGATGTGTTTAGCACAGAGGGTGGAGGATAAGAGAAACTTCTGTTTTGTCCTTCGAGTAATGGAAAGTGAGTCTCAGTTCTTTTTGAGGCCACACAGGCACAACCCCAAGGGCTTTGGAAAGTGTTTATAAATGAAAAAATGACAGCTCCAGAAATGATAATGGAAAATTGAATTTAGTCATTGCAACTCAGATCATGCCCCCAGGCGTAAACATGATATATAAGGTGGATGTAGTGGAATTTGTCTGTGATCCTGGCTACTGGGGAGACTGAGGCAAGCAGATCACAAGTTCAAGGCCAGCCTGGACAACTTAGTGAGGACCTGTCTCAAAAGGGGTGGGCTGGGGATGTAGCTCAGTGGTCGTGTGCTTAGAATGCTTGCCTAGTGTGTGCGAAGCCCTGGGTTCTATTCCCAGCACTGCAGAGCAAAAATGAAAGAAATACACTATAGCAGTGGGTGTGTTAATGTGGCTGATGTATGTCGTGGTGGGACCTCTGGGAAATAAGATGCTTAGGACCTGAGCTCCAGCTGGAGCCCAGATTTATCTCACAAAGGAAGCAGTGTGACTAAGAACTCCACATTTCAGCATCTCCTGTCTTCCTCCTAGCACCGTGGCCTGTGCTCGGAGACCCCCTTATGCTCCTCCCAAACCTGCGGGCCACCTGCAGCTTGCATTCTGCATGACGCCCATAGAAAGTACTAGGGGTTTCCAGTTGTGGTCACCGGCTGTTACTGGCAGCTTACTCAGGCCATAGTCCCTCTCATCCGGGTCGCTCTCGTGCTTCCTCCAGCGGCAGCACAGGTGCTGGAATATCATGGTCATGTGGCTGAAGATGATCAGAGGTGGGGGCAGGACCGGCCTTTCATGGAAAGTCATGATCAGCTGATACCTCTGAAACTTCCACACTTGGTTGGATATCGACTTTACCTCAAAAAACGTGTTGCTGAAAGGGACCAGAGAGGAGTAAGTGAGAAAATCTGTTGCTTTTAGAAGCACTGGCACCCACCCTTCCCATCCCGCACCCACTCACTTAAAGACGGCAATGAGGAGGTTGACCAGCAGGATGTTTGCCACCAAGAGGTAGCAGGCCATGATGGCTGGGACAATCCAAGCTCCTGTCTTGCAGGGAGGCAGCTGGATTATCTTACCGTCCTCCCGGGTCTCGTTCTGTCCACAGGGAGCTGGAGGAAGCAACAGAAACAGGAAGTAAGACACAGTGGCTACTTGATTTCTATAGGATGGATTCGAATGAAGGATTTAGATGGAAGAAAAACACAGCCATCTCAAACAGAAAAGAGTTCCAAAAAGCCAAAGTATAAAAATGAGAGCTTGATGAATATCCCAAAGGGCTGCCACTCCAGGGGGCAGTGAGCGAGACCTGCCTGTTTCCACTGGAAGAAATTATCATCCCACCATCCCTTGGCCTGTGACCCTGCTAATGGGCTCTTCTGTGCATTTAGATGCCTGGTGAGGGCTTCTGGGGAGTGCCAAGGAGCAGAGCCCTCCTGCCTAGCAAGTTACTTTCAAAATGTGCTGTGGAGGCCAGCGGTGCAGGAGCGCCAGCATTCCTGAGTTATTGATTGGGAATTAACAATGGGGCAGCTGTTCGTTGCTTTAAGAAACAACACCAACTCTCGGAGCTAGCGATACGCTGTCTCCGGACAGAAGGAGCAATGCCTGGGGAGGTGTTGGGAGGCTGCCTCTCCTGGTGGATGGGAGGGCAGGCAAGAGGATGGGTTGAAGCCATGAAGCTCACAGCTACCTGGGTTTTTTTCCAGCAGCATTTTCATTCCCTGTGCTTTTCAGGGCACAGGAAACAAAGGCTAACCACAGTTAATAAGCCAGCCAATGGGGGGCATGAAGAGATCTGTGGGTGGGGCTGGTGGGGGTGAGGAGGAAGGCAATGTGTGGGACCATGTAAGCATGAGCAGGAGCATGAGTAATGTACTAATGAGGCCTCTTGGCATTCCCAGGTAAATGCCAGAAGAAATAACTCCTCAACATTGTTTCCAGTACTTCATCAGCGATGTGGCCTCAGCACAGAGTCCTCTAGCGTTTGCGTGTGAGAGAGAGCTGGGGTGGGAGAGTGGGCAGGAGCACCAATAGGCCTCAGCAGTTGCCACACAATGGGATGCCAGGGAGGTTTGCAAAGCTGAGCCAGAGTCTACTGGACTGGAGCTCCTGGCGAAGTGGGGAGGGTGGTCCAGTCTCCTCTCCAGAGTCCCCATCACTGAGCTGTGCACTCGGCAGCAGTTCTCAACTCTGGCTGTCCAGGGTCACCTGGGGAGCTTGAAAATGCCCCAGTGTCCAGCTCTGCCCCAGACAACTGGCCCAGAATCTCTGACGGGCCACTATTTCTAAGCACCACCATTTTAGAAAAAATTTCTCAGGTGATTTTCAGTTGCTGCTAAGGCTGATTACACTGAGCTCCCACTGGGAGCCCAGAGAAAATGACATGATTTTGATATGCTTGGAAGACCAAACTTTTACCAAGACCCTGCTTTTATTAGCCAGGTCAAGATGGCCGAAGCGCTTCCTTAGGTTTTGCCTGCATGATAATTGGATGTTTTCTAGAACTGAACCTCTTTTGCTATTGGCAGTTGTGACCCTGACTGCCCAAGACAGCCGTGTAAGAGATCCTTATCATTTCCCACCTTGGAAGGAAAACCCAGTGACAGAGGCCATGCTGGTTGCAAGATGATGTCCCAACTGGGAATGGCTGATCCAGTTCCATCTCCTGGTACTGCCCATCTCTCCCTATAGGCACAGACTGGACTGTTTCCCTCCAACAGGATGGTTTGTGACACTGTGCTCACCAGACCCGGAAACCATGGGGCCACATGACCATGGGCTGAAACTTTTACAAGAGCTGAAATAAACTTTCCCTCTTGTAGGTCATTTGTGTTACATATTTTGCAACAGGGATGGAAAGCTGATAAGCACACTTGTCTAGTTTCCATACAAAATTCATAGTGGGAAAAATTGGTTTGCAAAGTATCACAGCCAAGAGTGGGCCAGGGGGAAGGGCAGATTTGTTTCCATGGGCATTAAACAGTGGTGGCAATGTGTCTCTGGTTTCCTTATGTTTCTGTTCCATTCCCTTCAAGGACTCCCTAGTTATAACTTGGACCAGCTTAGTATTTGCAGTAAGATTTGCTTCGATGTGAGACTGATCCTGGGAATTCCCTGCCAATCAGTTGGCTATTAATTTATTTTAGCTTCTTCAGCCTTTGACTCACCCTGCCTTTGCAGAGGTAGCACTCATTTAGTGGTTAGAAGCATGAGTTATAGAGAGATTTGAGTTCAAACTCTGACTCTCCCCATGAGCTTCACTGGCCTCACCTATGAAGTGGGAGAAATAGAAATACAATACCTGGGGGCTGTCAAGTTTGTTATGTCAGGAAGGCCTGAGTATCATTCCGTCAGCTTTGTCATTCGTGAGACATAAAACCTAACACCCACAACTTAAAGGACAAGAGGTTTAATTTGCTCTTGGTTTCAGTCCACAACCAGCTGGCAACAAGATATGATGGTGGAAGGATGAGGCATTGGTGAGGTTGCTTCGTTCATAGCAGCCTTGAAGCATAGCAAGGGTGTGCTTGTGACAGGAAGGGCGTTAGAGTGGAAGAGGTGAAGGAGCTCGTGCAGATCCCAAGCATCCATGGATCACCCAAACACACCTAGAAATATGCTCCACCAATATCCAGTGTGTATCTCAAAGTCAGTCAAGTTGAAACTCCATCCTAGCTACCTCATTTCACTGCTCTTCTACTTGATACCTCAACCTACATTGAAATGCTTTCCTTTAATCATATTTAATCCCTAAATAAAGATAACGAATTTATAATTCTACCTAAGATAATACACTGTCCAGCATACAATCAGAAACCAGTAATCACTTCCCCAGTGTCTCAACAGTTCCAGCATTTTCAAAACCCTTTCTTTTTTGCGACTCAAGGCAAACTCTTGACTACGAACCTCTCTAAAAATAAAAACACAAGTTACATAACTCTGAAGTACAGTGCCTCAGAGAAAACATTCCTATCTGTCTTGGTTACTTTTCTCTTGTTGCTGGGACAAAATACTTGACACCCAAAGTTATAGGAGAAAAGGTTTACTTAGCTTACAGTTTGTGGAGGTTTCAGTTCAGAATCAGCTGGTTCCAAGGCAGGGTGGCATGGCACAGAGCAACAATTCAAGGCAGCAAAAGACCACAAGAGGGAAAAAGAGGGGAAGAGCAAGCCTCTTTTTCTCTCTCATATTGTAAGCAGGCTACCAGCCCTAGGGAGGGTGTAGCACTCACACCATCTCAGTGCTGGTTCTTGCACAGAATGGGGATGTTTACAAAGTGAGGGCCCCCTACACCTGCTGAATCACTTAGTTAAACTTCTAGATTTCTCAAGTTGACACAATGTATCAACCATTACACTATTCTAACAGGGAAGACTGGGGGGATAGAAAAGAATCAGACCAAATCAGGACTGAAAACTAGCAAGTCAGACATCAAATCCTGTAGTTTTACATTCAGAATTCAGGGCACATAGCGGTAAAAAGTGAGTTCAAAAGGTCTTGGAGGTAGCTTCAAATCTACGGTTTAACCACTTGGACCCCACACCGCCTCTCCTTTGGTCTGGCTCCATTGATGGCTGGAAACTTTCCTCCAAAAACCCTCCACATTCCTGGCATCTCCAACTTGCTGATGTCTCTGTCACACTGTTGGTTTCATTTCTACCATTTCATGCATAGCATGTTCAGGAGGTTAACTGGTGTTTCAGGTCTTCCTTTGAAATCTACCTCTAAGCTCCCTGGCCCTTGTATTCCAAATGCCAGTAAAACCAGCATCAGGTGGAGGATATCAGAATCACTGTCTACAGAAGCAGTAGACAGCTCTCCTTGAACTGTAGCTATATCAGCATCCAAGTGCCTAGATGTCAGAGCACAGTGAAATGAATCCTGGGGAACAGTCCCTTACGAGGTGCTTGTCAAGGAAGGACCCTGGGGACTTTGTTCTCAAAACAAAGGGTGTGATACTTTTGCATTCCTGAACCTGCAGTGACTAGAGTCTTGCTGATTCTTGATATGCCCTGCAAGTGTCTTTCTTCCTGTCTCTATTAGAAATACTTGGTTTCTTCATTAATGATACTAATCTTTTTAGCAGGCACCTCCTTTGGCCCCAATATGATTTTTCCTGGGCCAAAATGTAAGTTTTTCCAATTTTTCTGACTTGTCCTTCATCCCCAATTTTCACTGTAAATCTGGTTAAAGCAGCAAGCAGTACCCAGGCCACAGCCTGTTTGACTGTCTTGAAATTTTCTTTACCAGATTAATTAATCTACTGCCCTTAATATCTCAGTCTCCTGTGAAATTACAGGAGATGGATTAAATGCAGACAAATTTTCTGCCAGAGTGTAACATACACAGGGTCTAGTCCCTGTTCCTAATTAAACTTCCTATGCATGGCCTTTACTGTCTGGATTTCCTTGGTACCAGTTTTCCGTATTAGCTTTTTTGTTGCAGACACAATGTCTAACACCCACAATTTAAAGGAAGGAGATAAGATATTTCATAGGCTCATGGTTTCAGCTGGCGATTGGCTGGCTCATGGACGTTGTGGCAGTAGGGAATGGCAGGGCAGAGCTCCTTAGTACATGACAGGAATGAGAGCAAAGGAAGGGTAGCAACGTGGAAGGGTTAAGGGAGCAGACAGAGGACTCAAGGTCATGGCCCTGTGATCCACCCAGGCACCCTCCAATGTGCTCCACCAATACCCAGGACAGACCCCACAGTCAATCAAGTTGAGACTCCATCCAACCACAGCAAGCAAAGCTCAGAGCTCAGTATTTGCCACACAACATTCAGTGAACATTAACTGCTATCATCATTCATATTGCTGTTTTTGTAATTAAGAGACTTTAGGCTTCTTGGGCTCAGGGGCGATGGCTTAGTTCTCTCTGTTTTGAAATCACTAAACATAGTGCTTGTCTATAAACACTTAAGTGATTAAAATGCGTTGGCTACAGGGCATCTTGGTAATCAGAGAGGACTCTTGTTAAGGAACTCACAATTTAGTAGAGGACAGAACACTGCATTAGTGTGTGGGATGAGCTTGGGTGATGGCCCCGAGGGGGACACTTCTGCTTGAATTGCTGCAGTCCCGTTAGCCTGGGTCATATGGAGTAGTCTGGTAATCAGGACTAGCCTGAAGAATATGGTCTAGATTCTACAGCAACAAGTGCAGTACAAATGAATTAGATGATCCTTATGACAGTGATGATGATAATAAAAATGAATCACTAAGAGACAGCCTTCATTTGGTAATATCAGCAAAGCAGCAGTGAACATTATACACAGGAGTTAGTGCAAAACATTGCTCTCTAATGTCTCCCAGTGATGTCCTTGTTCTGGGTATTTATCTGCTATGACTCACACAGTGTCTGTCACTGAGGAAGATGGAACTGGGTATCTTAAAGCCCTGACAAGCAGCAGATTTCAAGGAGGAGAAGGAGAAGTTACTTGCATTGTCACAAAGCACCAACCAGTATCTGGGGGCTCATGTTCTCAGGGAAATGCCCCAGGCACATGTGCCCATGATAGCCCACGGGTGGATGTTTAGGGGCACACAAATTGGTGGCTACCACTGTGTTTCCCTCTTTCCCTCTGGCTTTGGAACCTGACACTTGGGTGGTTCCAAAGTGCCCTCCCAGTTCTCTTCAAAAAGCAAGTGCACTGTCACCACCATCTTCACATCAAGTGACATGCTGTCACCGCCCTCTTTATTGGTCCTTATAGTAGACATTTATGGATGCCCTGCCCCTCTTCTGGTAGGAGCGTCTTGGTTTCCTCTTGGGGATTAAGGCTGCTCTCACTCTCAGCCCATGAAGTTTGGGTGAAACCAACTCCAAAGCCATAGCTAGAAGACGAATAAGCCTGTTTTATTCCCCAACTGCAGGGTTGGACATGTTCCTCAAGCCTGACCCACCAGAGGCAGAAAGCATCAGCTGGGCTCCTAAGTCCCTGCCCAGGAGTGATGCCGTCACAGAGAACAGATGCTGGTCCCTAGCTCCATCATTCCTGAAACTAGCCCTGTCCAAGTACATGAGTGGATTATTCCTTTTCTGCTAAGTCATTTCGGAGTGAACTTCTGTCCTTAGCAACTTAGAGTCCTGACTACTGCTGGCACCCTGACCCCTGTTCACAGCAAGTAATAAAAGATGCTCACATCATGGGCACCCTATTCCCGAGAGGCTGCCTTTGGAGTCTTGAAATAGACATAGAAAGATTGGAAGGAGCCGCCAGGGATGCAGAATTTGGTCTGATACAAGGTTGAATCACTGTCAAAATTTCAGGAGCTGAAGGCCACTGCTGTTCCACCCCCAAATATAAGGTAGCTTAAGGAGTCTGTAATGTAGAACTCAACTTTTTCTTATTGTCCAATGGGGCCCAGACCCAAAAGTTGACAACAGATTCAACCTACTAGAAAACAAAGAGGGTGTATACAGCTGGGGGACTGAGTCAAGCACCTGGTCGCAGTCAGATTCCTCTGAAGTGAGGAAATGTTGTTCTAGAAGCTGATATTCATAGACTGAGCCATAGGATCCTGCATAGATTAAGCCAGGGTTTGGGCACAGAGGGGAAAAGCTACATCTATGTATTCCTCCCCAAATTCAGAGGGATCTGGTTTATCTATGTGGACTGCACTGAGACATTGCACAACGGGAAGCCGAAAGGGCCATTTCTGCTAACTATGTATTCACCAGCAGAAATAGACACTGATAGGCCACAAAGTCACACTGCCCTAGGAAGAAAGGCTTCCCTTGTCTGTCTGCACTGTGGAGGGTGTGGAGTGTAGCCTTCTGGTGGTTGGTACTTCTTGCATAAATTTATATAGGCAGAGAGGTTGGGGATGTAGCTTAGTGGTACAGCGCTTGCCTAACCTGGGTTCAATCCCTGGCACTGCAGTGAAAAACAAAACCAAGCCTCCAAAACTAAAATAAGTTTACTGGAACATAAGCTTCAGGGAAGCAGGGCTTTCTGTCTCTTTTGTTTCACTAAACACTAGCACTTTGACTCTAGAACTGCCTGGCACATGTTCGCTGCTTGGTAAATATTTGCTAAATGGATGCAGTGGGATGGTTGCTTGTGCATCAGGCCCATAGTGATGAGGTCACTGGGTCCGCATCCATTTTCCTATTTATTCTACGACCTCATTATGTGTTACCGTGACCTGCCCATGTAGGATGGCTCATGTGATAGCAAAAATGCTGACCAAGAGAAACAACAGTTTTTTCTTTTTCTTTGTTTTTGGCAACTGCCAAGGTGAGGGCAACACGCTTGTGCTTTGGCAAAGGCTCTGGAAAATCTCTGAGTGCTGTTGTGCACATTTCCATAGCAAACCGGTCACAACACCCCATCCTGCATCTGTAACAGACATTGCTAATTATCCTATAGGCTCTTCCTCTCAGCCAATCCGGAATGTTTCTCAAGATAAAACTCGTCAAATAACAGTGAATCAAATAAAACTGATACAGCTTCAATCTTTTAGCTCCTTTAACGATGGAAATATGAGGTCTGTGGGGAAAGATCATTTCTGGCCCACTTCAAAATCTCCCAGAGCCTACCGGGCACAGCTGAAACCGACCTATACTGGCTCACAGTTGCACAGGAAGGAGTCCAAAAGGGTCAGACTCCAGAATCAGGTGTTCTTGATTTTTAAAAATGACACAGGAGATTGAACTGAGCTCCATACTCATCCCTCTTTTGTTTTTATTTTAGTACAAGGTTTTGCTAAGTTGCGAAGTTGTTCAGGCTGGGCTTAAACTTGCATTCCTTGTGCCTCAGGCCCCCCAAAATGCCATCATTACAGGATGCACCACTGTGCCAGGCTTGTCCATTTCTGAGAGGGCGCCACTGTGAGAGTGCTATGGGCTTTCCTCACGTACATCCCAGGACCCACACCCTGCACACCACCTATTTTAAAAGGTGGCTTTAATCATGAGTGACTCCCCAAAAGTGTGTTGACCAGTTCTTCTTTCATCTGAGATCATCAAAAACTGAAGGGCAGAGGAAATTTGGAATAGACCTCTGTGGAGGTGGCATCTGTGTGCCAGCCTCTGGGCTGGGCCCCTGGCATTGCACTTAGTCTCCTAGCAACTCCGTAAGAAGTGTATGGTTCTTGTTTTACAGCTGAGGAAACACATGCTGAAGGAGGAAATGCCGTACTCAAACCCATCAGGTCGGTAAAGGGTAACACAGAATTATCTCTTGTTCTTATTTACCAAAAACAACACTCAGTTCCTGCTGTGTACCAGTGGTAACTAGCACAGGAGCTGCAATGACAAATGAAGTTGACACGAATGTGACCCTCTCTTGTCCCCTGGGCCTGTATGTACACTGCTCAGTCTACTTGTCCATGTGATATTACTGGTGATTGCTTATCAAGTCCTTACGCAAGGCCCTGAGCTTTGCAAGCCTTCAGCATCATCGATAATATTATCCCAATTTTACAGATGAAGAATGAAGGCTTGAAAAGTTTGGTATGTCTGCCAGCATCTCAGAGGACTAGCAGGAAAAGAGAATCAGGGTGTCCCCTCAAGCATGGGGGGCCACATGGTCTCTCTCCTCTGCAGGAGGAGCTAGGAGGGCTTTGAGAGGAATCCCTCGGGTATGAACAAAGATAGAGATCGTCTGATAGAAATCTGATTATATTTTTGGTCTGCCTTTTACCCCCTTTTTATGTTTTTTGGTTTTTGGAGCCAAGGTCTCCTGTAGCCCGGGCAGCCCTTGAACATGCCGTGCAGCCTTACTTACTTCAAACTCAGATCCTCCTGCTTCAGCTTCCTAAGTCCTGGGAACATCTAAGTCTTGTTCCCATCGACATAAATAACATGGCCTGAACTGTTTAGATGAAAAAAAAAAAAATAAAGACAGGTGTATGAAACACACTGAAGGTTAAAGTCCAGAGAGAAAATTAGGTTCATACAATAGGTATCAGGCATAGGCCCTGCTGGCTTTTTGTTTCATCTTATACAGGGGCAGGAAATGTCTATTTCTTTAATGTACATGCCAGATTGTTTCCTGAAAGCAGGAAAAATGTAAAGGAGATGCTAACCCATGTTTGATGTAAGCAGCATTATCCTTTGAGATGAAGAAGGCTATTTCCTGAAGACCTTCCCTTCCTCTCCTGTCTGAAGATCAGTCCCCAAAGCTTACTCCACACCACAGGCAGTGGAATAAAGAGCTTAGCTGAGTATCTGCCTACATTTATCCTCCTTCATTTTGCAAAGAAAGGATTTTCAACTAAAAATCCATCTTGAAAAGATAACGAGACAAAGAGGATTTCTCCAACTCCTTTTGAAAATCCATAGGGTTTGCCATGGAAGATTTAGAATACCATTAACACAGCTCTGGTGGCTGGCTCCAAGGGTGAATTCGATTTAGATAACTCTGTTCTTTGCTCTTTTCCTGGCATAATACGCTCCTTGATGAGACTACTGGATCTATCTCCCTCTGTGTGGCTGTATCTTTCTGGAAGTTTCCTTATCTGAGGGATCTTAGATCATGGTCAGTCCAGGCAGTGTTCTCCTGGAGACATGGAACACTTCCGTTTCTTTGAACAGGTGACTGCCAATGTCTGCCAGGAAGGAGGAGAGATAACTGAAATCCAGGGATCCCTGATTCTGCAGGGTCAAAAACATCATCAACTGATGGGTCCCTTTTAAATTTTTTTGTGGCTCACTTTTTTCCCTTTTCCCTCACCCGACTGCTTGGCAAGAAAGACACTGACTAGTTTTGATAGGGCTCCCCAGGCAACCACTGGAAATTACCAGATAGCCTCAGTTCTTTATCCATACAGGAGGGGAGTGGGACTCCTGACATTTCCCACAGGGTGGTGTGGCCATGGTGCAGGAAGCCCAAGATGGGTTTAGGATACAGGCGCAAAGTGTTCTATTACATTGAATCAAACAGTGACAAAGTGAGAATCTTTTTGAGGACTTTTTCCCTCTGGACTCCATTCAAAAGACACCATCCATTTGAAGATCATGTTTCCTCATCAGCTTTTGGCACAGTTACAGAGTTCCTTTTTTGGGAAAATCTGTGCAGGGCTGAAGGCTCAGGATCTGGTGAGAATTTCCTACCATTGTGGCATTTTCATTCAGTTTCATGTATGGTTATCTTCCATTTATGATAAGTGATACTGATTTTCAACTTATGGCCTTTTCAATTTATGATAGATTTTTTTTAAATGCAGTGAGTTTTTCAAGATTAATCGGTTTAAAAATACCAAAGAGTAGGACAGAGATAAAAAATAGTGAATGAGTTATATGACTAATTATAGTAAATATGGAGAAGCACGAGATTAAGAGATCTCCAAATTCTGGTCCTAACAGTCCATTATTCCATAGTTCCATGAAGAGGAGCAAAAGCCTTTAAAAATTCCCAAACTGGGAGTCAACACCACAGCCTCTGTATCTTCAAGGCCATCTTGGCTTGCAGTCTGATAGTTACAGAGTTTCATCGCTGACCTATCCAGAAAGCACGATTAAGCTGAATCAATTTCATCTCCTAATCGAGTGAATTGGAAAGCAGAATGTCGTAAATCTAGATGTGAGTGTGTGTGTGTGTGTGTTTGTGTGTGTGTGTGTGTTGTCTGGGGGAGGGGTGATAGGACTCAATTATATGGGCTATTTCAGTTTTTTCCATTCTGTACAGTTCTACCTAGAGATAAAATTGTCATTTATTGCTGCTACAGGAGAGTTTCAGAATTCTAACCTTGGTCATTCGTTCTGTTGTATCAGGAAGATTTTGTTCAGTCTTTCCAAGGAAGGACATGATGTCCACAGGCTGTTGTGCGTGCTGGCAAGTCGCCTGGCATGATACAGCTGACAGCCTACACTGACAGCTCAGTTTCTCTCCCCCACTTGTACCCAATCTCCTGGCCCACAGGTGTTAGAGTTTCTCTCACTGACCAGGCGGGTCCTGCTTCCTTTACTCTAATGTCAGCCATGTTAGTGACTCTGGCCAATGGATGTCAGCAACTATGACTCACATGGACCCATGAAATCCCTTGAGTGTTTGTTCATGTGTCCCTATTTCACTTCAGCATCAGCGGGACAGATGGGCCTCAGTTGGCCTCCCCAGGATGAAAAGGCACAGCATCAATTCCTAGAGGCCTGAGTTGAGCGAAGGCTGCTCTGGGTCGCCTCGAAGCTAGCTGACCCCCTTGTAGGTGAAAGAGCCCAGCAACGCCCAGAAGAATCTTCTAGCTGACCCCAGGCTGGCAAGCTCTGGGAAATGCTTATGGCTGTAAGCCAGTGAGCAAGCTTTCACCCTACACTGTTATCAGACACTTAGCACACTCAACCACCCCTTCCCGTGCAGAGCTAGGAAAGGTAGCCCTGTTCCTTTAGGTTGACAAAACCCTTTCCCCATCTCTCCCCATTCACCCCCAACTCAGGTCACAGGAGACTGGAGCAGATTCTGTCCTGGCCACAGGAAGGGTGAGTTACTGAATGGCTGGTGCCTGATCACAGCCTTTGTCCTTAGAAATTAACCTGAAGTGCAGACTTTAGCTGATGGCACATATCTAACTGAAATGTCTGTGGAGCCAGACATGGTAGTACACATCTGTAATTCTAGCACTAGGGAGGACGAGGCAGGTGGATCATGAGTTTATAGCCAACCTGGAGTACACAACAAACCCTATCTCCAACAAGACCAAAACCAAATCCAAAACCAAAATATAAAAAGAAAGGAAGATCAGGAAGAAGCAGACTATAGTTTATAAAAGTAAAGCAAGATATTTGAGAAAGAAAAAGGGGGAGAAACAAGGAAAGAGAATGAGAGCTTGGGCAGGAGAGAATGAGAGAGATGATCGATGGGTTGAGGCTGGAAAGAAGTAGAGAGAAAATCAAGGAGAGAAAGCAGTCAGGACTCAGAGGCTGACTTTCTAAAACCACTTCCAAGTTCCTTTCCAGTCTGCTCACGTCATGCTTTTAGTTTCCTGTCTTCCAATGCCTCTGCGGTTTCCTCTTGTGTGCTTAATGTTGATCTTTCTTTAATCTAGTTTGAGTGGTTCTGTTTTCTTGCAATCAACACTGTTCTCTAGTGGTGTCATTAGTACCCTAGAGAGAGGCTTCAGACCAGGGGGTCTTCATCCGCAGTGGCTGGGGTCCAGGCTGCTGCAAAGGCTGGGATTAGGATCAGGCCATTGCGGTGGGACAAGGGGACCCCGAAGAAGGATGAAAAGGATGGAAGTAAAGACTGTTTAACTCGCCTTCTCTTCTTCATCATTAAGAATTCCGTTTTGGTATTTTCTTAAGAGCAGCAAGATTAGATAAGCTTTTTTCTTCTCCAAACTGAAACAACAACCAATGTAGAGAACAAGCGCAATACAATACATGCTCGTCTAGATTTGCCCACTGCTGTGCACCTCTGTAATAATTCCTGACAGTGATGGCCTCATGACAGCCCTTTAGGCTGTACTGCTGGGCCTCCAGAGCCCAGGGACGCACTGGGGAGAACAATGCCCTTGTCACTGCCTGACCATTGAAGGTTCATACAATCTTGGGCTCCAGGCCACAAGGAGACAAAGCATTGATTGGTTTACAGTAGGTCACATGATTTCCCCAAAGCCCATACATGGTTAAGGTGTTCATATTCTTTGGGATATCTGAAGCAGGAAGAGCCAGGGCCTTTTCCGAGATGGGCTGGCTGCTAAGAAGGAAGCCAGCAGTGTCGCAGCAAGCCTGCTTATGCCTCGCAGGTCGCATGCAGCCAGCCAGACGGCACATCACTGTGCAGATGCTCTGCAGGGGATCTGAGGCTGTGCCAGTTGATGCTCATTGGATTGTGCCCAAGGGGTCCTATGACATCTGCACAGCAATCAATAAGGCCCCTGATATTAGGAATGTGTCCATAAACAAACTCAAGCTCCTGCTGACATTGTTTACAAATTCCCTGGTAAGTGACAACGCAAGAAATCCACTTGTAGTGCAGCTCACGCCACCAGCTCTGATCTGCCACCACACTTCCCCGTTCGCGCCCTGCACCTCCTCGCTGCCCTCCAGACCCCAAGCCCTGTGCTTCTGCTTGCTCTCCTCTGTTTACTCTTACAACTCTTCAACTGATGATCCTCACACATCAAAGACTTCAGCTAGCATGCAGCCCACGCTCTGCTCAGAGCCTAAACAGCTGTTGGCAGCCTTGGATGCCAGTGCCAAGCGCTGGCTGCATGTTGCGAATTTCCAGCTGTGTGCTGAATACAAACACCGCCATCCTTACGTTAACAGAGTCAGGGGATGGTCCACCCTTGGACAGTGGACTAACACATTGTGACTCGTGTCAGTGCAAATAAATATGTCGGCTGAGTGAAAACTTTCCTGCTTTAACATAAATGAACAATTTTCATCTTGATTTATCTGTTGAAAACAACAAACTCAGATGCCAATCAGATGCAGGAGTGAGGTGGGGCAAGGAAAGAAGGAGAGGATGGGAAAGGCGTGTTGTTTCTCATCACGGTGTGGATATTTAAACAAGCCCCTCATCCTGCGTTTCCTGCTTTGCTAATTATTCACAACTGACTGAATCATTCCCTGAAGGCACTAGACACTGGCCCTAACTTGAGGAGATTTAGTTGGAGACCTTGATCTGACATTTTGTCCTCCATGTTTCTCTGGGAAAGCCCATGGAGGCTCAGTTTCCCCATTTTGAAGCCTGATATAATAATGACTGTAGGAATGATATTAATAGTGATGGTGGCACACACCCAGCTTCCCTTGCTGTCTGGCATGTACTTGTGGAGCTCTTGCTAGGACTCAGGCCACATGGTAAGGGCTTGTGTCCCTCAGGTGAGCCAAAGAGCAGAGAACGCTGCCTTCCTGCGCTCTGCCCTGGGGAAGCCAGAGTGCTGTGAGTGGGAGAGGTGATGGTGGTGGAAGGAACAGGAACTGGGACACAGTGAATGAGAGGAGAGTTAGGAGATGGTATGTGCCGTGAGGGAAACAAAGAGCAGAGTGGAGTAGGCAGGCTCCACTAGACCTTGACTAGGGAGGTTCACAGGGCCCTGATGCAAGGGTGCTCTGTGGCATGTGCTGTGAGGTGGAGGCCTATTGCGTTCTGGGAGCAGAGGAAGGTCCCTGTCTGGAGGAATGCTGGGGACAGCAGCTGGAGAAGAGGTGGGCATCCTGTGGTACCTTTGAAAGGACCTCTGAGGGTAAAGGCAGGCTCCGATGAGGTCAAGATGATAGGGTAGTGTTGCTATTGTAACCCTTTACTGGATCTATGAGAGACACAGCAGTTCTCCTTCCTGCATCCCAGCTTCTGCCTGATGCCTTCTTGTCCACTAAGTAAACCCTGTCTTCATTACTTTTATTTGACCCAGGAGATCTGCGAGGCCCTTAAGGAAATAGTGACACCCCCAGCACCCCAGGGGACCAGCGCAGTTTGCAATAGGACCTCAGCCTCCTCTGCAAATCACCTACCATAATGAAATGGAAGGCCTACTCAGGGTTCTCTCTGTCCTCTGCCCACACACAGCTTCCCTGCCTTTATTGGCCAAATAGCAGTCCACCAAGGGAAAGCTCATTTCTAATCTGATTTGAGCAAAAGCAACTTTTATAGATAGATGAAAACCTGCCAGTGTGAGGCCTGGGAGAGGGAACAGGTTCTATTGATGGCATCAGGGCACAAGCCCAGCTTTTCTCACTGCAGCTAAGCTCCAGCATGGTTGTTGCTAGCACACGCTGTCTGCTGCACCTGCTGGGCCCTGGAACAATACACTGCGGCTCAGGCGACACTTCCTCCTTCCCTAAGTACCTTAACCTCTCCAGAGGCAGAAAATCCAACCCGAAGCTGAAGCCAGTGGGGAGCCTGAAAATGTTCTAGATGGTTTCACTCCATCATAAAATACATAACAGAAGGGCTAGGTTTAAGTCCTCACTTCTCTTCTTCATTAAGATAGGAAGGTTTTCCTTTCTTTAATAAATGGCCATCACTGTGTACCTGTGCGTGCGTGTGTGTGTGCGTGTGTGTGTGTGTGTGTGTGTGTGTACAGTGGGTGCTGGCGATTGGACCCAGGGTCTCATTCCTGGGGGGCAAGCACTCTGTCACTTGCCATTGAGTTTTCATCAGCTAGTGCTTCATGCAACTGCGCTCTAAACAATAGCCTGTGAGCAGCATTTCTTTGGCCAAGTTGGCCTGAATAGACCTGTGGGAAAATCCTAAAACTAAACCTCAAGCCATATAAAAAGTGGCCAGTTTCTAGGTCCTATGTTGAAAAGAAACAACTCAGTCTTTCTCTTCTTATGTGCCTTGCTTAATTGTAAAACAAAAACCACTCACTGGGCTCTGACAGACCAGTACTAATGAGGTACAAACTGGGGGAGTTTATAAAAGACCATCCTATCTCTCTGTCTCTACATCTTGTGTAACTATTTAGTCAAAGGACAATGGCGAATGTTGAAGCTCTGTGCTGCATTCTCAGTGATTACACAAATACATGCATGCACACCCACACAGCACACATACACACATAGCTAGAGGAGAGATGGAGGGGAGGGAGATAAAAAGAAAGGAGAGAAGAGAGCTAAAAGCAAATCCAGTCACTTTGAGAGTTCAAGTTCAGCCTGACTGCTAGGTTAGCTAACAAGCAGAGGAGTAGCCTTTCTGCCTGCATGGCAGTGATCAGCTCCCTGTGAATGATGGGTACATTTCTATGCAAAGTGACTGTTACAGCTTGTGTCTAGATGTCCCCCCACAGCCTCATGCAGCCACAGGTGTGGCTTTTCAGAGCCGGTTGAATTAAGAGTGTGTGATATTGGGTTTGATTCATGGTGTAAAACTAGGATAAAAGGTGCTAGGATTAGGGTGAGAGTGTTACCTGCCCTTACTTGGGCAAAATACAGTGAACAGAAGGAGGCTTGATGCTTGCTTACTGTATTTTTCCTGCTTTGTTTGCCATAGACTGTCCTCTGCAATGCCTCTCTGCCATGGCACCCTGCCTTGGAGCCAGCCGACAATGGACTGAAACCTCTGTAACTGAAGCCAAATAAATGTTTCTTCCTTTAACTTTGGGTATAGGGTATTTTGTCTCAGCAACAAGAAAAAAGTAATAGAGACAGTGACCTAACAACAAGATCCAGCACCTAAACAAGGAGCATGATAGCTGTTCATTCAGGCCACAATAGGATAGGATAACTGTACAAAATCAGGTCGATGGCCAAGTTTTTCCTACAGCTTTTTGAGCAGCAGGATTGATATGGTTCTGACAAGACAAGTTTCAGTTTTAAGTACAGCAAACATTCATAATTATTTCAAAGTAATTCCAGTTACAGATGACAGCCATCTCCACAAGGACATATTTGGTTCTAGCTCAGGCGCATGAGAGTCACAATAACCAACACGATTTTCCACAAAGATGTTAAGGCTAGAGAGGCTGATCATTAAGACAATGTGGCACAAATCTGGTAGGGAACACTTTAGAATTTCCAACGCATTCATTTACTTTAAAATTTTTTGCTTAACAAATACAATTAAGCTAAGCAGGATGCCACATACTTGTAACCCCAGCCTTCAGGGAGGCTGAGGCAGGAGAAGTGCAAGTTTAATCCCAGCCTGGGCAATTTAAAGACTTACAGAGATCCTGACTCAAAAATAAATAAATAGGATTGGGGATGCAGCTTAGGGCAAAGACCTCAAGTTCCAGTACCACAAACAAATAAAAAATCTCCCAAATGTATTAAGCACTTACTATATTCAAGGTATTATTCTATATGCTTTGTATAAATTTCAACTCATTAAAAATAAGAAGAAAAATATGAGGTAGGTACTACTAGATAAATAAACCAAGGCACAAATAGGCAAGTAACTTATCCACTGGTGTACATAGCTGGTAAGAGGCAGTGCATGGGTTCACAATTCCATCATCTTTAGTGACCTATGGAGCTGTCTCTTATTGTGAGGAGTTTGAGACTCATTTTAAGGGCAGGATGATTTCACACCCATACATCTATTTCTAGGCTCCATTGGTCCCATCCTCGTGTATGGGTCAGTGGCTATCAAATGAAGGTGACCATAAACAACTTTCCATGTCACATGACTTTCAAGGTAAGATGGACCATAAGGAATTTTGGCCAACATGTCTACTTTCCAGCCACATCTGTGAAGCTCATGCATTCAGTGAAACTGGGAAACTTATCACCACAAATATGCATGATGAAAGAAATGCATATTGTCCAGTAAGTCCTTTGGCAATGAGTAAACTGGTATTTTTGACAGGGACATAAACAGTGCTAGGCTAGGAGGTTTTGTTTCCAGTGGTGAGACAAGGTGATTTATCTTCCAGCTCAAGGACTCAACAGATTTCCTCAGGCTGTGTGTACCCCAGATTCCTTATGGTCCATGGCAACAGCATCTTCCTAATTTTACTGGGGAGGGTGGATGGGCCCGTGGGCCAGCTCCTCAGACCTAGCTGTTTGTAGGTCTTGACTGACAGCTTCCTCTATCACACTAGGGTTGGTTTTGCGGTAGGATCGCTGCTGAGAACAGGTTAAGGATCAGCTAAAATATCGCTTATGTAAGCGATAAACAAAGCTAAATCTTGTTTTGCTGTGTGTCATGGAAAATAGTCTATTATTTCATGTTTCTAGGTGATTGAAGGAACTGGTGACATCCACAGTTGTCATGGATATACACCTGTTCCAACTGGCTCCAGATGATAATAGAAACCAGCGATGTTGAGTTTAGGAAAATCAAGCAAAGGGATTGGCTTTTGCAAAGGGTGGAAGCCTGTGTGTCAGTCTTCGAGACCAACCAAGACATTCACAGCCATAATTATGGGCTTGACTTCAAAAATCAAGTTGTTTTGCTGTCACAAAGTGCTGATATCACTGGCAGGCATACAGAGGCAAGCAGACAGAGAACTGCCAATGAGATCTTATTGAAATATGTTTATATGCAGATATATATTTTATTTTAATTAATTAAAAATTTTTTTGTTCGGGCCTTGTTTAGGTTTGTTTCCAGTCTATGGTGTGTTTCTATGGAAATGACTGAGAATATCAGTCTGTGAGCAGTAGTTCATAGGACTTAATTTGTTCTATTTTGAAATCGATTTAATGCAATAAATTTAAGAGTGTTTCCATCTCTGTGCAGATTTGGTGGTGCAAACTACTTCATGCGCAATACAATCTGAGACTTTGTATTAGCGTAGAACCTTTTGGTTTTGATTTTCTTGTATGTTTGTTTGCTTTTTGGGACAAGGTCTTGGCGTATGGCTCAGGCTGACTTTGAACTTGTAATTACACTACCTCAGCCTACTGAGCGCTGGGATTACAGGCATGCACCAGCACACCAAAATGAAACGTGTAGTCCATCCCAGGAGTCTCCAGCAGGGGAATACTGAATTTCTTTAGTTTATCTTTCAGGAGTTTATATTTTCTCTCTTCCTCTCACTCTATTTTCCTTTACTTTCTCTTTCATTTCCTTACTTATTTTTGAAGAGATCATGAGGTCAATTTTCCACTCCACCAGTCATGTTGAGTTGGCCAGGGAATGTGTCTCCCTCTTGAGTCCCACCCGATTCGAAGCCTTTAGCAAATGCCCAGAGGTGGGACAGGGAAAATCTCTCTTCTCTAGATGGTCCACAACAACTGCTTGTTGCCATCCACGTCATGCCACTCTATGAGCACACTGGAGACGGAAGATACAAGTCCCGGGCTCTGAAACCGTGCCATTTATTAGCTATTTGAAGGATCACAGGACATGTAACCTCCCTGGGCCTCACTGTCCCCAACCCTCAGCTGAATGATAACTGCAGCTATTTTAGTTGATTACTTTGAGGATGAAGGAGTAAGTGGTTCATGGAAACCTCCAGCACGGTGCCCAATGCACAGCAGGCATGCCGGCAGGGCCAGCCACACTGTGAGAGGCGCTGGAGCATGGAGGCGCTCAGCATAGGCATTTGAGTCGGGTGCTGATGCTCAAAGTCCAGCGCTACCTCTCTCAGAGACGTGTGTCTATAGGTCACCAGTTAGGCGAATACAAACATTGGAACTTTTTGAGAGTAGAACATTTTTGACTGAGAAAAACGGTCACTTCTTTTCTTCGGGTCTCAGTTTTCTTAGCCATTAAAATAGATGAGGGGATCCTATTTCATAGAATTGTTATAGGCTTAAGTGAGATAGCCTTTATAAAATGTGTAAAACAGCTCTTGGTAAACTGGGTAAACTCCTGTAATTCTAGCACTTTGGAGGTTGAGGCAAGAGGATCATTTTGAGTTTGAAACCAGCCTGAGCTAGTGAGTTTGGTCAGCCTGAAGTACATAGCAAGACTCTGCCTCCCAACAAACAAACAACACATGTAAGAAAGTTAGTGCTTGGTAGGCAGAAAGTGTTATTTAGGTACATGCTTTAATTTTTATTATTCTAATAAATTCCCTGGCATAAACTTTCCTTAAGAATAGTCCCTTTGGGGCCAGGGGTGTTGCTCAGTGGCAGAGTGTCTGCTTGGCAAGTGTGAGGTCCTGAGTTTGATTCCCAGTGCAAAACAAAACAAAACAAAACAAAACAAAACAAAACAAGAATAGTCTTTTTATCAAGCCCTCTTTTTCTTCTACCCATCAGCTTTCTGAATTGCCATCAGTACACCTCTGCTCCTTTAAAGTTAGGCCTCAGTTTACCTTATTGACCCACCCTGTACTTCCTCCATCTCTATCATGGCTTGGCATTGTGTGTTCACTAACGATGTGGTGTTTCACTGTGGCTGGTAGAGCTTCTCATGAATGTAGCAGGGCCCAGGGAAGACACATTTCTTCTGCTTTAATTTCATTTTTTTATATGATGGTTGTGTTACATCCTTAGAAAACAAATCCCTTATGTTCAAATGTCTCTAATGTTTTCCTATTTTTTGGAATAGATTTTAAAAAATCTAGAGTAATTTTAGATTGATAGAGATGTTTGAAAAGATAGTACAGAAAATTCCTATATAACCCATACCAGTCTCCATTAATAGTGAAATCTCATATAATGGTTGTACATTTGCCCAAACAGAGAAACTTACATTTGTACATTATCAGTCTACTCTTTCTTTTAGGGGGGAGGTGCTGGGGATCAAACTCAGGGGCTTGCACATGTTAGGCATATGCGCTACTCTTGGGCTATCTCCTCGCTGTGTTACTCTGAGCTATACTTTAGACTTGATGCAAAGTTCGTGCGTTTTCCCAGAACATCCTTCCTTTCTTTTAAGATTCCACCCAATATGCCTGACTGCACTGCAATATCCCCTGGTTGTGACAATTTCTCAAATCTTTCTTCTTTTTCATGACCTGAACTGTCTTGAGGCGTATTGATCCCTTTTGTTAAATGTCACTCCATTTGAATATGTCTAATTTTTGCTTCTTCTCATGATTAGACTCTGGGGAATAATATCACAAAAGGAAACTGGCTTTCTTATCATCTCACATGGGGGAGCAAATAATATCCAGATGATTTCTTAGCTGGGTGTGGTGGTGCATACCTGTAATGTCAGCACACTGCGAAGCTGAAGCAGGATCTCAGCTTCAGCTGAGATAGCCAGCCTGCACAACTGTGCAATTTAAAAGACTGAATCTCCAAATACAAAATAAAAAATGACTGGACATTTTGTTTAGTGTAAAGATCCTTGTTTCAATCCCTAGGACTGCAGAAGGGTGATGGTGGTGGTGGTAGGTACCAAGGTAACCTATCATTTACCAAAACACAAGTTTTGTATAGAATTTAACATACTAAAGTTAGCAAGATCCCATCCAAAGATAGTAAGTAGCTAGATTACTAAAATCACAGTATTTACTGAATTATTCAGTGCTCAATTTTATCAGACCCAACGTTTCTTGATTATAATAAATATTTTCTATTGCCTCCTTGACTCTTCAAATCTAAAATTTATAGATAGTATAATGTACCTATACACATAATTGCACAAATCATAATCACATATATCAATACACTAATTTTAACATAAAGGAGAAATTAAAGAATGTGATTATGAAATAATATTGTAGTTTATAAATATGCAAGCATGTTATCTCAGTCACTTTCTCATAGCCGAGACAGAATACCCGAAAGTAGAGTATTTCGGTAGGGTTAGTTGATAGTTACATGGCTCCACAGCAGGAAGGCATGGTGGAAGGGTTTGGGCCAAGGAAACCTGAGCATGGCATAGTAACCAGGAAGTAGAGAGAAAGGAGGAGCTGGAGAGGGAGACAGAGCCCTCCCGTTCACACCCTAGTGACCCATCTCTTTGGACCAGTCCCACCTC